TGGAGGGAGGGTGAGGCGAGGGGCAGGTTGCAGGGCAGGTCTGGTGCCTGCACAGAGCGTGCTGCATGGGATGGTGCTGCCCGGCCCGGGCCGGCCCCTGCCCCTAGCAGAAGCACCTTCCCCATTTCTCCCCCGCCCCGGGCGCCCCGTCCAGAGGTTGGGGCTGTCAGTCAGGTGCAAGGAGAGCAGATACGCAGACTTTGCTGCAAAGGCGTCCACTGCCCACTCCCTGGAACTGCGCCGTCCGTGCAAAGGTGATTAAGCTCAGTCGCTGCCCCCTGCCCCGCCTGGCACCTTGGCCAGACCTTGTCGCTGGAGTCGAGTGGAACCTTGCCCGCCACGTGCGAGCCTCTTCCTGGTGCTTGGATCCCACATTACGATGACGCAGAAGGAGGTCAGGAAGCGGCGGCTAGACCGTCCCGCGCGCCGAAGGCAGTGGCCGGGTCGGGCGAGGAACAGGTTAGTGGCATCAGCGCCCGAGCCCCTGTGCTCCAGGCACCGAAGGATCGAGAGGACTCCAGTGCCGGCCCCGATGAAAGGGAGGTCACGAGAAAATGGACACATATTGACTAATTAACGTTTTCTTTTTTGAANAAAGACTTGCAATAACGATCAAGGTGAGACTGAGACGGTCCTCAGTGTGTAGCTGGGCACAGTTGATTATTGGAATCCACCTTCTCTCCAAACTTAAAGTTTTTGTTCACCAGGAGAAGTTTGGGGAGTGAGTGGACAGGCGCTCAGGGAGCCCATGGAGGGAGGTGTCCCTGCGAGAGCAGGCAGTCCCTGGCTAGCCAGGCCGAGACTCTGAGAATGCTTCCCTGCCTAGCTCTCCCCGGCCCGCCAGGGTCAGGACATCCCTTGCTCTTTGTCTGGGAGCTCCGTGCTGGTTTGGGGGACTCCACATACCTTTCTGAGGCTCCTTTGCCTTCGGGGCTCACTTGGTGTTATTAGTAGAGAAGTCCCACCTGGAAACACCTGTGTGCACTGAGGCTGCTTAAAATCCACCTGGACTGGAGAAGATGAAACAGTTCTGGAGGTGGGTGGTGATGAGGGCTG